AAGCGGGGAAACGGAACGCGCACCCAGAGCACGCGCGCCCAAAGCGAGCGCAGCCGGAGCCAGCGCATGTGTAGTGAGGGAGCGCTAGAATTCAATATTTTCATTCTTGCAATTACAGAAAACGCGCAAAACTCTCTGGACAATTCAACAGCGTGGTCAAGAGTGCTTCGAAAGGTGCGCGGAAAGGAATGAAACAGAGGTCGGGGAAGAAGTCGAGGAAAATCATGAAGAATTCCTGATCCTCCGTCTGATCATCAGCATCAGTCTCCGGAAGCTTGTGTACATTAAACCCTGGAGTATGGAAATATATTCATGTTTTGTTCGAGAAATTGGGACTTCTCCGTGTGCACGTGTTGAGAATAGAACTCATTCTTGAGATTCGCCTTCGTTGACGGCTGCTCCACTCACGTGGCTTCTCATCGAGCCGGAGAATCGATGGCGACTCGTCTCACAAATAGGGCTCCCTATTTTATTGACAAATCTTGACCAGACCTGGATAAGTCATGTACACGTATCGATGAGGGTGATCTGATACTCTATTCAAAGTTCCAAGTGTTCCTCGAGCACGGGAACTCAATAAAAATCTTCTTCGTCAGCCTGTCCCTGATTCTTGATCTGATCTTGGCTACGATACATCGATGCGATCTGCTCAGCGCTCGTCGCGTCTTCCGGATTCTTGTCGTCTCTGATCCTGATGAATCGAGGGAAGCGTAATGAGATACCTTTCTCAGGGTCCACCAAACCCACCGCCGCTCTATGGAGGGGCGATATTGAGAGATCCGCGCACTTAATCTCCCAAACTTGGACAGCGTCAAACCAATCGTCGGGCTGCAGGCTCGCGTCGGCGTTATAGTACGGTTTCACTTTGTCTAAAACGTGGTCTTTGAAGAAGTTTGTGTGCTGTTCGAGCTCCTCTTCCTTGAAACCAGTGCCAATCTTACAGAGAGATTGGAATTCCTCGCTTTCGGGGTCGTAACACGCCAACAGAAATCCTCCGTAGGTACCAGTTCTCTTTCCCTTACCCTTCCATCCACCGATCACCACGACGTCGATTGTGTCACCAACACCCTCGAGATAATCCTTCTTCAGTTTTAACCAATTATGCGAACGTTTCGCAATCTCGTATGTGGCATCGTTGTCCAGAGTCTTCACCATGAGACCCTCACAGTTACCTTTGATGCTCTGCTCGAGGAACTCTTGAATGTCCTCGACGTTGTCGAGATCGGCGTTTTGTGCCAGACCGAACTCCGCCTCGACTTCGTTGAAGTGTTCTCTCAGAAGCCGGCGACGCTCCCTGAAAGGTTCGCGTACGAGGGATCGGCCGTTCAAGTACAAGAGATCGAAGGCGAAAACGTACACCTGGATGGTGATTTCTTTTTGATCGACGTCTTTTTTCTTGCGATGCATCAGGGTCTGGAAGGGCAGAATTTGTTTCTTCTCCCGATCGTAAGCCACCGCTTCGGAGTCCATTATGAAGTCGGTGACGTCGTCCTTGACGTTTTTGGAGATCCTTTCGATAATGTCCGGGTATTTGGTGGTGTTGTTCTCTTGGTTACGAGAGAAAATCGAGATCTTCTTGCCTTCGGTCATGTGTATCTGCGCTCGCTCGCCATCGTACTTGAATTCACAGGTGAAGCTCATGTTATCGAAACGTTTGAGAACATCGGCGACGCCTTTGGTCGGATGGGCCAACATAGGCTTCATTGGGACGCCCGGTGTGATTTTACACTTCTCGGGTAGAGCGTCGAAGCCGTCTCTGAGGAGAACCTCGATGATTTTGTCGTAGTTCGGACATTCGCAATAAACCGTCTTCAATGTGAGAGTCGCTTCCTCGAGGACTTTCTTCGTAGAATCGCTGCCCAGGGTCTTCAGAAGCTTCGGCCGGTCGTGGAGTGTGATGGCGTGCGCCAAAGCTGTGAGCAAACTGGACTCTGCCAGACCGATTCGGAGCTTGCCCGTCAAAGATCTGATGAGAAACTTCGATTCGGATCCTCTACATGCCACGAACATGCTCTTGATCATATCGACTTTCTTCGTCTGAACGCTGTGTCCGCTGAGCTGGGCGATTTGTTTCAACTTGTTGAAAACGTTACAGAGCAGAAGTTTCGGCGGAGCGAAGATCATTTTCTGGTTCGACTTGGACGCCTCGGCAACGCTGCCGAGATCGCCTTTGACGTGGACTTCTTTCTTTATGGCGTCCATGGTACGCCCTGTGACTTCAGCCACGGCCTTCATGAGCAAAGAATCGCCGATGCCTAATTCCTTGCCCTCGTAATCGGGCGCGATTTTGTTCAAACACAAATAAACGGCATAGATGAGATCATTCGGCGAGACAGCGAGGCAACTGCGGAAGAAGTTGCACAGGATTTCGATCATTTTCAGTCTTGAGGAATTGTTATCAATGCATTCGAGTGTCCGACAGAAGGCCAGGTACGGTATTTTCTCGTCTTTTTTCCAAACTGCGTCATTCACGGGGTCGTAGTTGGACTTGTCCGGTCGATATTCTTCCCCCGCTTTGCTGGTGGTGCTCTCGGCTTTTCCGAAATTGAGCTTAGGGGTTTGTGGTTCTTCCTTGGGAGAATCCTTCGGAATCCTTTCGCCTTCCTGGGTGTCTTTCTCATCAACGGATGTGTTGACTGCCATGGGGGAGAGAGGTTGCTCTTTCACGTTGGCTTTCCGTTCCGCTCCTTCCTCGCACATCTCATTTTTCTGGAATGGAGTAATCGATCAATCAATTCACCCTTAGCCACGAGGAATCTCATGCGGACGATCCACCGCGGGTCGAAGCTCTTGATCAAGCTCCGCGAGAGAATGTTGAGCGGATTGCGAACCTTGTTCTTGGGGCTCTTGGTCTTGGTTGTCTTCGGAGACGATTTTCTTCCAGCCTTTGCCTTGCTAGTTTTTTCGACCTGGAACAAGCAATGGGAATCAGCGCAAGTTGAGAAATTCTACTACGAGATGGTCTCACGTCAGAGATCCGGGATTGGTTGACTCATTCTTCTCGCTCAAGTAGTATCTCCTTCGAGAGGCCGAGAATGGAGCCGAGCGGCTAGAATAATCATCGATAGAACGGTCACTAACCTCCGGAGTTTCGCCGACTTTCGACTGACGTTTGGTCGGTGGGGCGTCTTTTGGACTGCCACTGCTGAGCTTGCGTTTCAATCCTTTGCCGACCGCCTCCTTTGCTGGATCGAGCTCCGCTTGAACCTCGTTCTTCGGAGGTGTCTTATTCTCTTTCGGTTTCTCTGGCTTAGGTTTAGCTTCCTTCGGAGATTTGGTATCCTCCTCACTGCGAAGCACCAAGGATTCGGAGTTTCAATTATTCTCTTCGCAATCCGATTCCCGAATCGTCTCCTCTTCTGAATATACATACAGCTCACCCCGATAACTTTTCGGATCACTTTCGGAATAATTCCCGAGGGACTTTCACTGAAATCATCTACGTCGTACCTGTCAGAACTTTCGATTCGAGCTTTTCTCTTCGTCTTGGTCTTCACGGGGGAGTCTGGCTCCACGCTCTCGGACGAGGTGTCGAATGCGGAGGCGGCACCATCCTTCTTGCGGAAGAAGGCTGAGATTTTCGCTTGAGACATAGTGCGGGAACTTGTCTCTAAACCGAACTTCAAATCTGTTGCACTGCGGCTGAAAATGGCGCCAAAATGAGACCGCCGCAGGGGAGTCTCGCTCTTCTGCAGCACTTGAGGTAGACCACACGTTCTTATCGGGAGGCGCAGCAAAAGACCGCCGATCGATCTCAGCATAACAGATATCCGCGATCCGGGATGGAGGAACACATTTCCCGAGCTGCTTCTAATGGACCGCCTGGACCCTTCACAGAATTCGAACGATTTGAATTCGCGCGCGCCTTGCATATGCTGGGCACTCGATCGATGTAAACACAGGATGTAAACAATGATCGCCGCCGGGTGAACTGAAACGAGCATTCCCGTTCCTCGTTCATGCTTGTGCCGATTTTCGGATATTCCTCAATGGAGAACGCCCTGTTCTAATATCCTCGACCTCGGACGAGGAAACTCTCCGGTTCGGCTCAGAAGACACCGTTTCGCGCCGCAGATCGGAATCTGTCCTCAATATCGTGAGTATAAACATTTCCTCAATTTTCGAGTCACGGTCGGCTGTCACAAAACGCTTCATCCCGACTCGACTTCGTGGTATCAATCGGATTCTCGCTTATTGATCACACTACTGAGAAGCTGAGGATGAACTCCGAAGCAAGCGACTGGGTCAAGCTGAGCGAGTTTAGAATCATGGATAGAGCTGTCTGACATCCTGAGAATTTTGCCGCCAGCAGTTTTCATTAGCGAGGCCATTCTTTAAATTTTCCAGCCCCAAACAGAGCAAGCACGATGACTGGATATTACTCTAACGCCGAAAAACGGCGGATCGAAGACAGCATGGCTGTCCAACCGGTTTCCAAAAAACCCCGTGACGATCTCGCTCTGGCCGTGGGTTCGGTCGAGAGAGCTGTCCAGATCTCGGTGGGTGTCCCAAGAACAGATGATCTGCATGTATGCGTGAAGTCTCCGGAATATCCGTCAGAGTTCCCGCCTCGAATCCTTCGGAGACCGAAATCTGATACGAATATCCTTCCAGAAAGGAGCTAGGACATCGAGTCTCCAAGCCCCCATCATGCTGCTCACAGGACACAAAGGAGAACTTTATAACGGGAAATTCCATCCAGATGGAACAATGCTCGCTACATGCGGATTCGACCGAAAAATCCTTTTTTGGAACACTTTCGGCGACTGTGACAACTTTCACATGATGACCGGCCACACCGGAGCGATTCTCGACATGCATTTCTCCACCGGAGGTTCGTACGCCTAACTCTCATAGTGATCCGAGAAAATGCGATTGCGCCGGAAATTACGCAAGGTTCGGAGGAGCTCATTGAGGACTATGACCGGTCTGAAGAACCTCCCTTCATTTCCCAGGGGAATTTTTATACACTTGTTCGACGGACAAAACCCTATCCATCTGGGATTCTCAAGTTGGCGTTCGAGTTCGAAAGCTGCGGGGTCACAACACATTCGTCAACTCTCTCCACCCAGCTCGCCGAGGACCGCAAATGATTGTGTCGGGGTCCGATGATTCTACAATCAAGCTATGGGATGCGCGGCGGAAAACTCCGGTGAAAACCCTGCAGGAACAATACCAGATAACCGCCGTCAGCTTCAACGACACCGCCGATCAGGTTAGCTTCAGGGAAGGCGCGAGAACCCGTCCTTCCACATCGGAAGTGGGAACGAATCCAAAATAGCAATCTGATGGGGTTTTCCGTCTTCAAGGTGATCGCCGGCGGCATCGACAACGTAGTGAAGATTTGGGATCTTCGCAAAGACTCGATTGTGTACAGAATGCTCGGGCATCAAGATACCATTACCGGTATGTCGCTTAGTCACGATGGCGGTTTGCTGCTCACGAACTCCATGGATTGCTCTCTCCGTATTTGGGATGTGCGCCCGTACGCCCCCCAGGAACGCTGCGTTGCGGTATACCAGGTGAGCTCTTCACGTCTCATCATTTGAGAAATTTAAAAACCAATCAGGGATTCGGGAGGAGCATCGGAAAATTCTGCATATATTGGAACGTGACGGAATTCGATGATGTGTTTCTGAGGTGATATTTATTTGCTCCAAACAGGGCCACACGCACAACTTTGAGAAGAACTTGCTCCGATGCGCCTGGTCGCCCGACGACAAGAAAATTACTTGCGGCTCAGCTGATAAATGCGTTCACGTCTGGGAATGCAATTCACGGAGACTACTCTACAAACTACCCGGCCATCATGGCTCTGTCAACGAAGTCCGATTCCACCCGTCAGAGCCGATACTGGCATCCGTTGGCAGTGATGCGCAGATATTCATGGGTGAAATCGAGCCGTGAATTCGCCGAAATATGCAGTAATACTTCGAAATAAATGTATAAATTGTAAACACACATCTGCGTTATGGTCTCAGATATATATTTCTTGCAATCTCACTACCGGAAATCCGGCTTCCTCGCGAAGAAGAAGGAGAATCTCTTGGCGCGCGAGGTACAGGAGCAAGGTCGAATCTCACGTCTCACTGTATCTGGAGCTTAGGGACTCCTTTTTGGAGACAATATCGATGCACTAGCCTTTAGCCTGTCCCCGGCCGGCTGCAGTCATGTTATCATACTCCGACGTCCGGAGAAATATGCTGGCGACTATCGATCCTGAGCTCCCATCTCGTTTATTCGCTTCCCTCGGTTTGGCAATCAGATTCAGTGACGGATCCACGGATATGCCGCCCCTAGGCTGAAGGAGACCGGGGGATCTCCTGGTTCACAGAAAGCCTGAATAATCCGAAGGGGCGGAAATCGCCTTGTACGCTTCCGTTCAGTCCTAGATGAGGAGAGAAAATCGGGCATGTTCTCGGGGATTTTTCAAGGGATTATTTCCTCTTATTTGTTTTTAAGACGGCTGCGCCGCCAATATGATGCTCCGAGCTCCCGCAAAGCGCTCACGCCTTTGTCCCGCTCACGGATGATCTCATCGCCGGGAATATGAGATGCCCCCGACCACGTATTCACCCCTCCGGGAAATCTGCCGCCCCAGTCTGTAGCTTAGTGAGCTTACTGCTTAAGTTCTAGTAAAATACAAATCTTATCGTGAGAGGTGATCGTAGTTCCCCATTTTCGGCCTCACTTCCATCGTCATTGAAGAGTGACGAGGGAATCAATGGCCGGAAAAAAATGCCGAGGGATGCCGTAAGACTTGCATCATCACAACCTACAACCACTGTCGCCAGCAGGCTGCGATCATTGCATAAGAGGGAGCTAGTGTACATGGGAATTCTGCCTTGGACGCCAGGGCCGTGTTCCTTGATTGCGTCGATCAGATGACGAGTCCACCCCGTCAATTCGACCGTGTTCCCGCGTGTACGCGAGTATGTGGGCTAAGCTGGAGCTTCCAGCGGTTCCTACCCGAGGTTCTGGAATTGCGGGTTTCGGCCGATTTCCTCGGATTCGGAAGTGACCGGATCCCTACCCGCGGTCCCGAGGGGGCAAGACAAATGAATCCCTGCGTCTAAACCACCATTGATATGCTCCAAAATGACTGAGAATCCAGGCCGAGATGTTTTTGATAGCTGAATGTCTCTCTCATGCACGGTAACAAGGGAAGTACCAGAACTGACCCTCGCGATTTGGACGAGATAGCGCGGAATTTGTAGGTCGACCCGGGTCTTGGAAACCCCCCCCCAGTACATCTCGCTAGGTAGGCCCTCCGGACCGGATAATCATGCTACATGTATTCGGGTTTCAGATTATTCGGAATCGCGAGGGGGCAGTTCTGGTCACTTCTCCTGTAGCCTCTCGACAGATGAGCGAGCTTGCTCTCGCTGCTGGCCGACGTGGACCGTACCGCGAATACGGAGACTGAACTCAGCAAATATGCCTTTCGGATGGAATAAAATTATTTCGGCTGAGTACGTAGACCACGAAGAATGTGTAGTCTCGAAATTCTCGATCAGTTTCGCCAGGTTCCAGTCCCAAATGAGAGGAGGAAAAATTCAGTTCTCTCCGGTTTTTTCCCGCGGTACCGACTCCACGGTTCTCGAAACTGACGGGTATTTGGGTGCCCTCTGTGAGCATTCTGCGGATGCCCCGGATCCATCGGAATCTCGAGCGAGAGGGATTTCCCTCCGGAAAGAATTATGCGGCAGCGACAGGGGGCTCCGAAGGCCTATTGCCAGGACTAACAAAATTATTCGACTCGGGAATCGTCAAAGATCAGAGCAGCTTCCGCTCTCCAAGTCAGATGGGATGAGTATGGTTCCAATCTGATAATCGAGCCGTTTTCCGTACGGGAGGAGCAGGGCTTATGCGAATTCTCCAGAGAAAATGGTCCCAGAGAACCACGGTCTGCAATCGAGAGTGAGTCGCCCACTGATTCCGCAGCGCTGCTCTTATCTCAACAACATGGACACGATCTTGACCTCAATCGAGCTCACAGAATATCTCTTTGCGTAATCCGCACCGCCCCTTAACAACATCCGCTCCGGAACGAGTCACCTTGAGAAACGTTCAAGTCTGCTCCATTTCAATATCAGCTGGTCAGATGAACACACAGCCGCTGGATCAATATGGAAACTGGCCAGCTAAGCCTCAACTGAAATTGGATTGGCCTCCAGCGGAACTTCTCACAGACTTCCGTTCGAAGTGACGAAATAAGGTGATGCGATGAAGGAATTCGGACTGGCGTTTTTGCTTGCGTCGTTCCTATCCTCACGGACATGTCACGCATTCGATCCTATGAGATTCAATCCCTTGAAGGTGAGAGAATTTTCCCCTCGAACTCCTGATAGCTTCATGGGGGATGGCAGAATAAAACGCGCGCAGGCAGAAGAAATTTTCGCTCCGTAGGTTATGCACGACGTGGAGGAAGTGGTTGAGGGTTTCGCCAAGTACCTCTGGGTGACGGGCCTATCGAAACCGTGCAGTACAGCGATACAGTACTCCATCAGGAGATTCTTCAAACTGGAACCGTGGTCCGTAGCATGTGAGTGTCTCGACCTCGAGAGGAGCAGATCCGTACGACATGAACTCCGAGGGAGTTTCACTAGCGGGAGAAGAGCTGAGTGCTCCCGACGTTTCCTCCCTCGTGTCTTTAAAAATCTTCAGTTCTCAGGGCAAGCCCCTGCGCGCAATGTCGTTTATCAGATTCTGGCACATCGTGCCCTTTAGGGTCAGCACATTTGGACTGAAGCATTTCCCCCCATAGTGTTCGATTCTCTCGGGAAAATACCGCCGGGCCTCATGATGGGAACTTTCAACTCTATGGGTCATTACGATGAATGTCTCCAGGTGAGCAGCGCAACCTTCCTCCTAGGAGGAAGTCGCAACCCCATCCCGCAGCCTCCGACCTAACTGACGTATTTTGAAGGTCTACACCGAGCTGGATAACGAAACCACACCATTCAAGATGCAGAGTTTCGATCATATCGCGGGAAGGTATTTCCTCTGCTAAATTGATAAGCATCTTGGAAAATTGGCATAACTTACGATCCATTCGACGCGGGGCTCTCTATCCGAGAATTTATTCAACCTGCTCCAACGAATTTTCTGAGAGACTTGCTCATGCTCGGCGCAGTCCCGATGTTCATTAATGAGGCGCAAACGAGATATTCAACGCGGGCGGCTACCTGTGCGCGTTTCGAATGATGATGATCACGAGCAAAAAAATCAATTGACTCTCGGATGTTTCTCCCCGGACAGATATTGCTCCGTGAAGATAGTATTCGACGGGGAATACTGGCTGAGAAGGTTCTCAAACACGAGCTCGTCGATGACCAATACGACGCGGGCACTCATACGCTACATGCTCAAGGAAGATGTAAGTCGAGTCCACCTCGTTCACGACACCTTACCTAAAGAAGAACGTCAGGCACGACACGACGAGAAAAGCGTGAATTAGGTCTCCTCAACAACATTTCATGGAGGAGGGCGGAGCGCTCAATGCGGACTTGTGTGTCATCTTGGTCTCAGTTTTCGTGCCGAATGGGGAATGGGGAGACATCGTCTTAGGAGTCGATCAAGTGAGAGCCAAATCCGACCCTAAACGCAAGACGCGTTGCATGCGATGGAGATTTGCGCGGAGCAGTTTCGGATTTAAGCTGAGTGATACGACGATGATCGATCCTTCCGATTCTCGGCCCACACGCCCCCGGTTACAATCGACGGCTCACTGTCAGAGCGGCATAGTCAGTTACTACAGGTATACGTCATCGGCGGCGTACGTGGCCCCCGTCGCGGCGGCTTCGAATGCAATGGCGTTCCGCCCCCGCCTGATCGGCAACGCTCTCTCCAGGAAACCGCCGTTCTACAGAAGCCTCAAATGTATAACAAGACATCCAGAGCTCTCGGGTGGTGTGTCGCGGACGACGGAAGTTTACTGCATCCAAACAATCACACTCGAGTCACGTTCTCGCTCAATTTCCTGAGGGCGACTTGTGAATTCCTCGCCCGGGGGGAGGAGGAAAAAACCCAAACTTCATTTGACAGACAGCCAGGGAAGCTCCGACCAGTCTCGGAAGGCTTTCTTGGGTTACAGGAGTCGAAATGACATTTAGGACTCGCGAGCCGCGATAGGCAGCTCGGCCTAGCTGTAATCGAATTGCATTGATTCGCTCGAATTCTTTCAGATGTATCTCCTGTACGAGATGAACCGCATGGTCGATGAGCTTCCTGGCTTCCTGGGACTGTGCGTTCCTTCGCAATGCACAACGAATGACATGAGCCGCTTCTTTGGTTTCGGTTAGGAACGGCTGACAGCCAAGAAGAAAAATGTATTTGCGGCAACCGGCGATTCCCGCCGAGATATGATCCATGACTCTCTTTATTCCTTACCAGCTACGCCGATGCTCCGAGCGTTCGCAAAAGTCAACTTGACCTTCGAAGTGGGTTCCTGCAAAACTCTGCAAGACATCGAGAAAGCTGAAATGCCCATTCTAGGGAAAGTTCTTGTGTAAGTGCCCAAAACACGAAGTCCGATTTGGGCTCGAGCGATTCGGAAGGAGCGGCTCCCAACAACACGAAGGTGGTCGTAGCGCTATTCCTCTCCTAGAGCCGAACTCAGAGCTCTCGTTCCCTTCATAGCACGGTAACTTTTCTCCTGGTGGTCGTGTGTGTCTTATCGACCCTGATCCAACCCGCGAGGTCCAAGGACAGCTCAGGTAATGCTCGCCAACGCAAAACGGAAAAATAATTACAGCTCTGGTGTAATTTTCGAGAATATTGCCCGGGAACGCCTATTCCTGTCTGTTGCAGCTTTGGGCAGCTTCCTTAGATGCTTCTCCGTACGTGCCAACGCGCGCAGTCTCGTTCAAGTTGATGAAGATCCCCTGCGGAGAGCTCTCCATGGGCTACGTGGCATCAGTGTTCTTTGGTTTATTACCGGCAACTTCCTTTATCTTCATTCGATGCTGCTCACCCAGAATATGCTTCTTCTCAAAGACAAAATCAAAGATGTGTGGATAAGTTTCGTGCTAAACTACTCGCTCTCTGAGGACACCATAATTTTCGTAATGTGAGTTGGAGTCGTTGCGATCACCCGCAACCAAGACCTCAGATTTTCGCTCGACCTATCTCTTCCACGAGTTTCCTCAATCGAATCATGGTCCGAGCCCTCGGAAAAATCATGACGAAATTAGGTGCTCGACGTGTTCGAATCGGCTCCAGGTTGATGGCACTAACGGGAATTCACGCGTTTCAGAGCCGTATTCGTAAGTTTGGCATTCCAGCGTCGAGGCCCCGATCTGAGGTCCATGCTCACTTCCGTTTCCTACATGATGATGCGTGTCTGGCCGTTAGGTCTCTTCTGGATGACCTTCGTTGTCCAGGTTCTTCCCTATGTGGGCCACGGACCGACGTGGTCACTTGAAATGAAGAGGTAATTTCGTCCAGGGAAGGCTGTTGATCGTCCGAGAGTCCACCACTCAGACGTCGATGGCAATTGCCGTCTTTTCAGGTTCACGAGAAATTGTAGTGAGAGCTGGTGGCGCAACGTTCTGCTAATCAACAATTTCTGGCCGAGAAAGTCGCAGGTGAGATAACCTACCATCAGTGTTGCGACAGCGTCAAAGCTCCGTAGAAGGGATCGATGGTACACTTTGCAGAAAATCACAGGGGATGAAATCTTCCAGTGCGTGGAGCAACTTTGGTTCCTGGCGTTTATTGTGCAATGCTCTCTCGCAGGCCTAGGTTTGCTGACGATTCTGTACAGGTGCGTTCCCGCGCAATTCTCTGCGTATCAAACGAATGAAATTGACTCCGTGCGTTCGGTTACGCCCTCTTCGGCTGAGAGACTGATTCCCCTGCAGCAAACGTCGGTTGGGAAAGATGCTCTTCCTCGACACAATCGTCGCGACCGCTCTGGTCACGGGAGTGCTGACGCTAGTTCACGAATCCGGCCCAACTCTCCTCCTGAGAGAATACCGAGCTGGGTTAGCATCCATTTCGTGGGATATCGTCATCCGGGATAACGTGCGAGTTGCGCTCGATAATGATCTCGACCTCATGTTTCAGAGCTCGCCATGTTTACTTCGACGAAATATACACAAAGATCTACACCCGAGGTGGAGTTTTCCTCATGGGTTTGTGGGCGGGAACTCAATTCTCTGAGATACAGAATTTCCAGCTTTCGAAGGTGATCAAGAGCGGAGGGGGAACGGTGTCGTCTCAGTAGGCTCGAAACCGTCGGGCTATCCTCTTCACCTTTTACGAAAGACACGATGTCCGACACTCACGTTCGGATTACAATAATTCTGAAGGCCTCAACAGTTCCGTAATTGTCCCCAGTTCAAAAACATTCTCGGATGGTTCTTATCGCTCTCAGTCATCGCGGCCATGGTCCACTCGACCTACTTCTGGAACCAGGGTCAACATTTACCCGGCCCCATCGTTAGCGCGATTTTCGCATCAACGCATCGACTTCTTTGGATACTCCCGCTGATTTTCATCATCATTTCTTGTGCCACCGGAAAAGCCGGTGAGTCGAGACGAGACTCGCTCGGTGGTTCCCGATCCATTGGCGATTGACGTAGCTTGGGGCCGGCGACGAAAAATCCAGTTCTAGCAGTTTTACGTTTCCAGACGTCGCTGCATGGATTCTGTCCTGGCGCATTTGGCAATTCAGCTCCAGGCTCGTCTACTGCATCCTCCTTAGCCACGCTTACGTGATAATATTCTCAAACGCTGTTGCCAGATCGCCCTTCTTCTTCTCGTATGATTACTTGGTAAGCTTTGTTCATTCGAGCATGACCTTCAACGACGACACCGACGTCACTGTCTCTAGCGTATCAGCCAAGGGACTCCTCTCCAAGAGCCCCCATCTGTTGAGTTTGTGGATTCTTGCGTGGGAGCGACAGAAAGCCCAATGATCGTATAATTTTCAGAGTTACCTGGCGCTACACCACATCGTGCTGACGATGGCGGTGTCGTTCGTGCTTTCTCTGTTCGTCGAGAGACCCGTTGTGGCTTTGCTCAAGTTTGGAAAGACCTCCCGAGAACGAGGTGAATTGGGTAGACGTTCACGAAAACTCAGCATCAATTTTCCTACTTGTATTTTCGTAGCGATCCATTTCACATTATGCCGGGGATGTTGCAGACAACCTTGTCATAATTGACATGAAGCCCGCCTTGGACCCGATCCTGATTATCAACAAGAAGAATGCGACAGCAAAAGGGATCAAGAATTCGTTTGAGCTCAAATGAAACTTCTCGTGCGTTCTCGCGCCGATCTCCCGCTTACCGGGGCGCGAAGAGTGGAACTCGGATACAGAGGCTCCCTTCTACAAGTCCTCCGTTTTTCCCGCTTGTCCCGAAAAGACTCGCACCAGCCGCTTCAAGCGGAGGCTGACACGGGTTCTCGGAGCTTCCTCAGACCGCATGTGGGAAGACAGAAGATACAGAGTTTAAACAAGTTGCGAGGACGCCCCGTGAATAGTTTTCTTTTTTTCCGCCGCCATGTGGGCATACGCTTTATTCCGCGCTCCCTGTCATGATAGGACATGCTCCGTTGATTCCGACAGTTTGAAGAGCAGCCACGCCTCGGAACGCGCTCTCGCTAAGCCTTCGACAAGTCTCACGAGAACGTTGTGTCCCGAACGCGAATGAAGCTCGGGAAACAAAGGATAGAATTCCCGTGTCTAGCTCTCGGAGGCGGGATTCCCAAGGGTAGGTCGTCGCCGCTCGGCGTTGGTCACTCCCACTCGGACTTTTCGAAAGACTCCGCTATTGTTTCGGCGCCGGCGGGGCAAAGCGAAAATTCGGGGACTTCTTCCAGCGCATGAAAGGACTTGGCATTTATTGGAAAATCTCTCCGCTCCTACCTTCCACATGGTTATTTCCTTTGAGAAATCATGACACGATATTCGCTTCTCCTGAAACTCTGCTCGGGAACGGAGACTTGTGGCCGGACGGAGAGCAGAAAAATTCAGGCTAGAGGCGGCACCACCGTGTGAGAAATCAGAGTGCGAAGTTTTGGGGAGAGTGGAGGCGTCACAGTCTCTCGTGTTGTCTCCGGCCGAGAGGAATCGACTATTGGGAGGTAAGACCCGAGATGTCTATCGGCGCGGTGATCGCTCGATCAGGTAATATTCCGACTCGCTGGAGCATCTTGTTTGCATTGTGACCTCCCTGGAACTGTGGTTCCCGAGCAGACCCTGCGCGTGAGGTCTTGTCGCTGTGATACTTCGACAGACAAATCGCGGCGGTTGCTCAATTCATGCATTCAGATGCTCCGAGGGGCCCGCATTGGACTCCCGATGGCTCGAGCCCCGCGTGAGAGCCTCCGGCAGACTAGAAGAGCTTGAAAAAAAAAGTGCCTTTATTAAAGAAGTCTCTAAATGAAAACTCTCGGGAGACTAGAGTGGGATTCGACTGTGGAATCTCAGCTTGGGAAAATTCGAGGAATGGTCGAGTTTCCTTCCAGTGATTATACGACTCAAGGCGAGCTCGATGACTTCCGTAGCATACGCGACAAGTCGGTTGAGACCCCATCGCAGGGGGATGCCCTACGGGAACGTCTTCGCTAGCTCGATCGAATCTCCTGTGAGCTCGACGTTGAACTGGATTCCTACGTCATAAACCGTGAGATCTCAGAGCATTCTACCAGGCGAGGGGTAGCACCCATTGCCGATAATGTGGACCATGATTCAGACATTTGTGAAGACAGGTATGCTCCGAAGGCAACCGCTCCCCGTGGAGGCCATCGGAAAAGGTCAGGGAGAGATTCTATGACGTAATCCGGCTCTTAATGACCGGCTATTTAGTAAGTCACGCTCTCTGTTCCTCTCGGGATTCAAAGGGAAGACTATTTGAAGGATGTGGGTAGGCTTAGGAGGTGAAGTGGGGAATAGGTCCCGTCCAGCTCACACTTGCTGATCATCAGTCAAGTCCGTGCAAGAGTTCCGAAGGACATCAGAGACCCAGAGAACTCAGACACATCGTTCATGAACTCCTAAGCGAGAATGCGATACTTGGCTTAGGACTTAAATTTATCCATCAAGTCTCATTCTACGAAAGCTCCGGATGACTGCTAAAGGACTCAATCACGATGAACGACTTAATGAACGGTTAGAGCGGCAAAGACTGCGGATGATGCGAGAATCTGATGGAAGGGTTATATTCCGGTGTACGAATCAGAAGAGACTTCCCCATCACGGTCTCTGGGCTTAGCAAGCGATTTCTCCCCGAGCCGTCGAGGGCGCTCCTGTTGTCATTTGGGAAGAGTTCCCTCTCCACGAACTAAGGAACATTCCTGAGGTCGAGTGAGAGCCACCCGCCAACTTACGAGAAACTTTCCGCCGGCTTTCGACCTTTGAGCCTGGGAAAAAGCGTGATTTGACGGCACCGTGACTACCATCAGTTCGAATCCTCGATGCCGAGATGCACCTCTCCGTGCGAAAAATACTGCTTTGAAAGAGCGTGTCCACCATCCGCCGGACACTCGGCGACTTCTCCGAACTTTGACGTAGTATAGTTCAAGGACTTGACTGCAGGAGGCGGGTGCAAGTTTTGTGTACTACAGAGTGCTAGCGGATCTTGTTGAAGTGTGAATCATATCAGAAGACATGGACAACTCCACAGTGCCGTCGGAGGCGGGACCTCTGGTGTCGAAAGCCTCGTCGAATGCGACGCGAGCCTCGGCGAGTCTCGCAACACATGCCCGCCTCATATTGGACGAATTGTTCATTCCCTTGAATGAGGACCAATGTCATCGGCATATCCAGATGGACCCGTTCAAAGGTAGGTGGAGGCCCAACGATCAGATGAATGGATTTCCCTCTCGACTTGTTCCGAATACCGTGGTATCGCCGTTCCTTCACCGCACCGGTAGTCCGACCACGTCTCGCTTCGGCACTCGAAATCTTCATCGATTGCAATAGGACGGGGTTCCCATCATCTCCGGTCTGTTCTGAATCCCTGCTTAGCCGGGACAGAGGTCCGAGGCTTGATAATCGACTTGAGCGTCGGGAGTCTCTCGTGAAAGTTTACTCATAACACGCTCTGATCGCTCACTCGAAGCCGTGAATCGTCAACTGTGGACTGCGTTCTCTCCGGAAGAGGGGAATTAGGCGACGTCTCACCGTGACCACGGATATCGGCGGGGAGAAAATATCTCGTATGTGCATCAGAGAAACATGTGCTCCGAGATTACCCGGAACTCTGGGAAACCATCAATTCTCTCAGCGGTATCAGGTCGTCAGACTCTAAGGCGGCTCGGTCTCGAAAATTAGCGGTGTGATGTGAGCGGTTTTTGCATTCAATTACGAGCGGAACGTTTTTTCTTCTGATGGTTCGGTGTTGACCATGCTCCCGTACTGCCGTCCGACGTCATCGGAGGCGTGTGCGTGTCCGACCCCGTTATTCCACGAAACCAGCTGAATGCGGCTCCGAGACAGCTTTTGCGAAACATATCTTGCCGTTCTGGGAGCAGGCTCGTCTCAGGCGAGGCAACGTTCGGAGTCAGGATTCCGATACATTCGGAAGCGGGGGCGAGTGTCGATCATGGATACTGCATTGCGTGAACGATATCTTTTTACGCGATCTGAAGCCAGAGAACCCGAGGAACGTGACCCTAGGAGGTTGCGGAAGGTTCCAGCGTTGGTGTAGATGGTTGACCTCTCCTGATACTGGATGAGTCACGCTCTCTATCCCCTTGGCGGCTTGAGCGAGGCGGATTCGGCGCGCGGAGAATCATTTCAATGGGAATGTCAGGGAGCAAAGGCCTCGGACAGTCGAACGTGAGCAGCCGAGGCTCGTCAATGTCATCAGGCATCATCCGCGATAGAGACGGGAAAAGCGGCAGTTCAACAATAGAATTCACACGCCGGGGGAGGGGGCTGTGGCGGTCTCGAGGAGGTCAAAAACCCGAGCTCGAAAATCGAGCGAGACCGCCCACACTATTAGCATTCTTGGATAAAAAGTTCGCGGCCCGCAAATATATCTCGCCGGTAAACATGACGTGCAGAGAATATAAATAGCGATTTATGGTCGCACCCTGTCAGAAACTTTTAAATAAACCGAGGATGCAAGCGAGCTCGGAAGGAATCCATCGACGTGACCCGATAACGTATGAACAACATACCTACTCTTCATCTTTCCCCTTGAGCCGAAGCGCATCAGATCTATCGGCAGTGGTAATTAGATGCCGACAGCTGTGGGCGGAGGTTGAGCAAGAGCAGGTGCTGAGCGAGTACATCTGCTTACGCTTCACGGCGACGGGGATGGCTCTGAACCCGGTCGGAGAAGCGCACGACTTCTGTCCTGGCTCAGAACTACGTAGAGCACCGATGACTCCGGTGTTGCTCGATTAGGTCCCGTTGCAAAGGTACTCGAGCCCGCGGCTCGAATTGCCCGACGCTGTCTGATCCCAGGACAATGCGTTGCTCTCGGGATGAACACCATTGGCGATCCTGAGAAATCATTTCTGCCCAAGCTTGGGTGGGTCCAGATCCTTTCAGACCCGGACTCCTCTTCGCGGAATTCTATAGAGGAATTATAGCTATTGTGGCCTGTTGGGACTGTTCGCCGTTCTGTCATTGTAAACAGGTGCCCCGCATTGAGGAAGTCCGAGTTCCCTCAAACTCGAGCGGCCGTCTTCGACTTCGCAGAAACGTCAGTTGTATCCAACAAGGCAGAGAGCAAGAAGGGAGCCTCATCTCAACAACTAACGTCCGGCAAGTCCTGTGGTTGCTTGCGAGAAAGCAGTCAACCATATCGAGCAAAGCTCCCCCGATGGCCAACATACGAGCAGGGGAACGGCGGCAGCGACAAGCAACATTCAGGCAATCCGACCGCAGAGCAATAAACAACTGAATGTGTTATTACGGCCGCGAGTCCCTTCGTGAAAGTAGATGGCTTGCGGCGACTACGCACTTCCGCAGGACAGTGTTCCTCCGAGGAGCCCAAGCCCGAACGGCAAGTTCACGCCACATTCCGAATTCGAGCGATATTCGAATCTCTTTCACGTACCGTGAGGTCTATCCGGGGAACTTCGGCAAGCATGAACCAGCGATCGTCCTGGAGGTAGAAGAGCTGGAATATATATCTACCGGCGCTGCTCGAAATAAATCGCCGCAGAATTCAAATCGCTTCGGCCACCGATATGAACAATGGCGAAGAAACCATGTAGAGGCGCGAGGTCGTGGGCTATCGAGGGAGGATCGCCCAGATGGAGTTGAAAAGACATCGGAGAAAATCGCAGGGATTGCTCTTCCCTCGACGCTTCCGGACCCAAGATCGGATCAATCGATGGATTTTCGCTGTAAACTCGAAAAAAATCTCTGAGCGCGGTATAACTCAATCAAGTCGATGATACGTACTGCCGTCGATGATGTCGACGAAAACCGGGCTCGCGATGTCGCGGCCGTCGTCGTCGTGCTCTCTTAGTTGGGAGGCACCTGCGGGCGATGGCTGATGGGTAGGGGAGAGGATAGTTTAAAAAATGGAACGACGGGTAGAGGAGTTGTCAAACAATGGCTGTATAATTAATATCCGTGCCCCGCGCCGTTTTTTCTCGAAGTGCGGCGTCAGAGTGCGGTCGACGACATCGGCAGCGGGACTGATGTCTAGCATACCATGTACGAGCGACATGAACGACGAGCGCTCTATCAGAACCAGAAGACAGAAAGATATGAATCAATTTGGGGTATGCGAGAAAAATGTTCTCGCGCTCGTGAAGTACCGCTTACAGTGTTCCTGTTTCTGACGATCAGGCGGAAGATCGCGGGTCGTATTTACACATGCTATTTCCCTTCTATAGGTAAATTCATGTGACGCCACTCGGGAGGGGAAGGGAACTCTAAAGGAATTCTGAGCAGAAAACCCAGTCAGTATTCCGGAGAATTTCTCGCCGGTCACGCTGACACGTTTCTGAGGAGGTCCGGGCAAAATAGAAAGGAAGAGACGGGAGTTCAGAAATGCGGGAACGCGAATGCATCGAGTGAACTGCTTTCTCGCGGTAACCAGATATCGTGGGGAATGACTAAAAATGGAAAATGACAGGAAAAGTCTCGTCTCTGAGGCTAACTGACTCGGCCCCGCTGAGCACAATCCTGGTTACCACGGCGCAATGGCAACATTCGCGAATCAACACCATTCGATAAAGAATCGAGCTTTGCTTACACTTCCCTTGAAGTTCTTTGCGTTCGGTTCTCTGCGCCCAACCGGAGGGTCTTGCAGGATTAGCCATCGGGAGCAGGACTGACGTCGAGTTTTTTGATCACCTAGTGATGAAAGCTCTCGCGAGATTTCTTTCAGCTATCGACTCATGGAGAGCAGCTCATTCCGGAATATCGCATCGGAAAGCTCCCAAGCTCCTGCAGCGCGTCGTCGGCGAGGGTGCTAGAGCTCCGAAAACGTTGCGAGACTTCATTAAGTGTGAGGAGGGCGAAACAAGGGAACGGATGAAGTTTATTCGGGCTCAAGGCGGTCTCGTCGCGTCGCCTCCATTCTATATTTTTCTTTGGCGCCACAGAATAGAGTGGAGTCCTCAAACTCGAGGGAACTTGTGGAAACATTCTGGATTCTTTGCGAAACGTTCACTTCTCAACGGTTACTTGAGGCAGACCAGAACATACGGAGGAGACCCAGCAGGTACTAAGAGCAAAGAAAGTGCGAAAATATGGAGACACGCGGGGCGCGTTCCTTCTGCGACCGCGGATGCGTCAACACGAGAAAACGAATTTCGCGACCCGATAAAGTGTCCGCGCGGAACCTTCCTGAAGCACGATGGAAACGTGTTCACTTTGAAATTCAAAGGATGCAGGCCGTCTGAATTGACTGCAGCGTGCGAGGGCGGAGGGAATTCTCCCCGTTCGCTTGTACATATGAATTCGTTTGTTGTTCAATGTGCTGTCCGCGGCCTCCGAAAGAATACCACGAGGGCAATTGGCCGAGCTGCGATTTGCAACGGAGGCGGACGAACATTTTCCCGGCCAACGGTCGGACGCACTGCCATTTGTCACTGCGACTTCCACGACTAGGCCCCACTTCGGAGCACTTCACTGCTTTGTTGAGCTCCACTTTTCAGTTTCCGCGCATATGGGGTTTCCTCCTCTCCGAATGATAGGCAAGCCTGCTAGCTCATCAGTGTTTCCTTGAGTGCTACGAGTCATTCCACTCCGGACTCTCGTGTTTTTTTTTGTCGAGGAAGGAATCCAACTGTCGATCATGCATTCGAGGGGAGGACCTCCAGACGTCAGAGTCCATCTCATAGCAAGATTCGTAGATCATGAGCTTCGTTGGGTGTCCCTCCATGTTCTGCTGAGCAGTGCCTGAGAGAAGCGAGAAACCTGTTGATGCGCATCACTTTCTCTTCGAAACATGGGACTGTTCGCGAGCTCTCTTCCTCAGACACAGTCAGCTCCACCCTTGTGAGGAGTTCCGAGCTCTTCCTTTCTGCGGACACTGCAGGCTTTCTCGCTTGGGGTTCAGATTCCAAAACTGGCTGCCCTTCCTTCAGTATCGAGGAAAGGGATTTCTAATGGAGGGCGAAGCCAGATTGTCAACATTCGTGAGACGGCGCGCCGTCTCCGACAAAGAGCGGAGACAAATACGGCGCGGATCCCCGACGAGAGACCTCACCGGATATTAGCGAGGGTCTCTTCTTATGTCCAAGTGTCACTCGTTGGCGACCGTCGCTCCTGATTCCCAGCTCCACAGCCAATGACAGGCAAAACCGAAGACTCGTATAGATAGAGATTTGTGTGATATTGCTTCTCAGGCCTCGTTATAATCCTGAAAAAAAACGGGTGCTTTCCTCCTGGCATACGTAATGGAAACCGTCAGTCGTTGCCTGCTCTCAGCTGGCATCTGTTGCTTTGCGATCCCAAGCTCTTCGAGCGACCCTCGAGCGATTCGCTCGTCTGTCCGCAAGCGGCGGAGAACGCACACATGTCGAGCTCCGAGCCGACTCCCGGTGTTTTCCAAGTCGTTAAATGCATTCGGAACGTATGCGCGATGGACGCGGAGCATCGATCTCGATACGAGCAGCCGTTCTGAGGACAGCACTCCGAAGTCGCTCCGTGTTGGCCGTGTTCCACTCTATTTCTTTTTCTTTGTCTGAGAGCGCTCCTCACTCTGAATATTCAATCCGCTGATGCTCGAGGGAAGCATCCACTATCAGCGAAAATCTTGCTTGTTTCCTCGAAAAGTAGCGCGGGTCTGAATGCCGATGTCAAAATGCGAGCGAGCGAGTCCGGGATTCACAATCCGCTCGCCGACTGGCGGACTCCTGCCTCTCTCCTCCAATGTTTCTCGGAGCTCTTTCCACGACCGAGTAGAAATCCCTCCGCCTTGGGTAGCATCCAAGTTTCTACTCGCTTGAAAAATGACAAATGGATTATCTCTATTTGTGGAGTCCCCCCCCCTCCTCCCCCGGAAAGTAATCTTCGGGTCCTCGGCCGAAACCAAGTACATAACGAAATATTTCAGCGAAACGTTCGGAGCGTGTCCAGGACCGCTTTCACTCAGCCGGGCCTCGTTCAATCTCGGCGTTTCCGTAGACGACGATAGAGAACTGTGCTCGCGGAGCCGGACTGAACTTCGTGAGCGGCGCTAAAAACCAGCTCCGCACCCGGGAGCCTAAATCGGAGCCGCGACCGGAGTCCCCTTCGGACAGCAGCGCGAGGGAAGCCGCTTCGGTCACGAGGTGCGCAGAAAACGGCGCAGCTACTGTCGGACCTAGAAGCGGTTGAGAGGTCGGACCCTGGGATTGACGCTCTGCGTCAATCTATTGGGGTGTCTCATGTCGGCCACGCTTCCGGAACCGGACTCCGATTGAGAGAGGCAGCTGCTAGCCTTCTCATTCAAAAGTTTTCGGTTGGCATTCTCTACGGCGGTGAACAAGTGCTCTTAATACGTTTCTCGCTTCCGGCAGGACTGTCAAGATCCTTCTGCTATTCGATACGCGCTCCGACGATACCATCATCAAGGGAGACGAACGGAAATGGGGCGTCCGTAGTCTATGATTGAAAAGCTGCTGACACTGGACACAACTAATTCCGTATTTCCTCCCCGTCTCACCCTCCCGCATAGCACGGGGACAGGCAATCACGGAGCCGAACGGAATGCAAAACCTTGCCGAAGACCGGTAGAGAGTCACTAATCTGTGCGTGCACGGTACCAACTCCTCACGCGAGGAGCTGGCTGGAGTCGCGGGGTCCTAAGGGAGGTGTCTTCCAGGACCCTTGGCCGGAGGATGAACCGTCTTTTGATCGTCCGACGGCGGTAATTCTGCAGACACGAGTGTCGCGGATATCATTATCATATCCCATTATCCTCCTTCGATACGACACTCCCAAAGAACGGAAATCGTTAATAGTGTTGTCCTCACGCACAACGATTCTCTCAGCGTGGCGAGTCCGGTCCAACTCCTCTCCTGTCGGATGTGACGTGAGCCACTCTAAGCTCCATTTCCAACCTGACGGAGGCCAGGGTCTCGGGAATTCGAGGTTTCCGTGCGGAAAATAAACAAGGGACTACCAAGGTCCGGAGCAAACAGGGTGTCTCCGTTCGAGTTCTCCATCATAAGTATGTGTGCATAGGGAACGATATCATCCCGAATGCAAATATGTCTGATGCAATCACGCTTCTTCTCACCACAGTCTCTCTGATAGGCGTGAACGAATCGACCAAACAAAGATAAACCAAACATCGACCGGATAAAGAGCTCGATGTCTTCATCGACGGGGATGGGCGGAGTCTCTCTAAGCTTTCGAGTAAATACTGGCCGTAAACGACAAACTAAGGCATGCGGTGACCTTTCGAAGGCCCATCCGACACATCAAAGATTGATCCTCTCCTGGAATCGCCACGCTCATTTTAATATGAGCATTCAGGGAATGAATTTATCATAGGCATTCAGGGAGCCCAAACAGAAGCTCGCGTATCTCGTTCTCATCTCTGGGATCCTCACCTTCTCAAGGAGGAGAAGCAAGAGGAGCAAGAAACTAAAACTCGAGTCGAGAAGTTCCTCGTCCGTGGGAGAACTTCGGCCCGCCGCTTTCGTATCTCGACTCCCTCGAGCCGGGTTGCAAGTTGTTGCGGAGAGACTAGCTGCCTTACTTGAGGAGTTCCGAGTTCTTGTCCGAGGAAAACAGAGGAACCCAGCTGTTGAGCGATGCCGTCCAACGAACCGATCCGGAAGTTTTGACGTAGTTCATTGAATCATGCTCCGGGATACGCAGAGCTCGCGATATCCGGAGATTCGGAGCGGATGCGACCGACGGACAGCGCATCGTGATTAAGGCGGACGACCTCATTCATCTTGGACCCGGAAGGGGCTCCAAGTACGGCTATTGAAAAACACCCGTCCATGAGCGCTGGGAGTTCCGTGGAATGCATCCTTGCTCTCCATCGCAGCTCTCAACTCTCAACTGTGAGGAGTAGCGCGAGTCCAGCTCCATGGGGCCTGACCCGAGTCGGCACATTGAGGAACAAACTGACATGAGACTTCCTTATCGAAGCGGGAGCTTCGCAATGTCCGCAAGTGATTTGAAAGAGAATTTCCATGAGTGGCGATGTGTGCAACTCATGAGGCCTGTTGGGCGGTTGCGAGAAATCATTCTCTCTCGAGGGGAGTTCCGGCCTCCTCATGGAGACCCGGTCTCCAAAGCGCCGTAGTCGTAACGACCGGGCAGAACTCCGTCAAATGATGAGAGGAAATCTGAGGGAGCTCAGAGAGTCGCACCGTCTTAATCGCAGAGATTTCACTGGAATGGGGTCTCACACTAATGATGTCATTCACGATTCCAGGGAGGAGGACGCACTGCCCCGTCACGTGGGATGGAGTTTTTTGCTGGAATTCGATACCGTCGAGTTCGGTCGCTGCCCGGTCATGTAGGAGTCTTTTCGAAAATGAAGTAGGTTACAGGCCGCCGGAAACACACGTGGACAATTTATGGCAAGGTTGGTTGCCGCTGCATTCCATACCCTTCTCTAGACCGGGCTATTACTCTGGCACCTAAAAATCCCCTGCTAGGATTGGCTTCCTCCTCCGGGACACGGCTTCTGAAATGTAAAATGATGCTGTTATCTCGTTCCTCTGAACAGCATATAGCCGAGAGTAGTTCCGATACTAGGGGGGAATCCGAAGGAAAAACTCTTCCTCTCTGGCTGTGCGTTTCTATTTCGACTTTCCCGCATTTTTTCTTAAGGAAGAGCAAAGAATTCGATCGGTGGCCTCCTTCCTCGAGTTCTCGGGCGGGAACCCCTCATCACGACATCTCTCACCAATGGCGAGCTACTACTCAAATAATCCAACCGTTGCTTCTTCACCGGACGGTGGAAGCTCTCCTATTTCGAGCCCGAGTGCAATCGTTCGAAAATCCCTGCGCCGGAATTAGTGAATGGCAATTGAATTTATCTTGATATAGACGAATCGCGTCGAGCTCGGTTCAAAGAATGATATTAGGCTGTGACCGATTTTGACTCTGTGGTCATTCGATTAGACTTCGCTTCGAGCTTTCGAGCGCTGAGGAATCGCAATCGGTTCGGGCTTGCTATCTGGAAGCCACGAAGCCTCTGTCCCGAGTGTAAAAAGGCAGACCACTTTCCACGCTGTCCGATGAGCATCATTGGAAGTAGCTTAGAAGGAAAGCTTTCTCAACGAGCAAGGATGAGATATTCCTTTTCCTTTACACTCCCTCAAGCCCGTTGTGAGACCTGGGGCCTGGAGGATTTTGAAGCTCTTCGAGGTTAAATTCGCATCTATTGAGAACATAGTGGAATCCCGTTGTGAGCGTTCTCATCACACAAGCTCCGACTCAGTTAGCCAACGCCATATACTCGATCATTATCTACCCTCATGGAACGCGGCCTCTTGGAATTCTCAGGGGTCTTCGAGCATTAATTTTCGGCCATTCTCATAAGAATCGAGGGACGTCGGAGGACGAGGTGTTTTTAGGCGTCTGTTTTCTCCCGAGCGCCCTGGGGACCTCGGATAATCCGAACCGTCGTGTAAGCAAGTGATACCCGTTGCAGATCGCTATGCGATTCGCGTATGTGCACCGAACGGACAATGGGACTCGCAGACGAACTATAACGCATGTTTGGAGCAGATCGTAAGTATCCGAATTCCTTACTAATGTGGGACCCGGAATGCGCGACCGACAACACGCGAAACGATCGGAAGCATCAAGCGGCTTTATCGAATTACTGTCATACCACACGGCTCAGATACTGTATAATTTTCCGTCGTATGATCGATGATGTCTCACGAAGGGCATACCAATATTGGACTTGAGGTGATAACCGCGAAATCTTTCCTTGTTCGAGCGCCTACTTCCTAATCAGAGGCGCTGACCCCGCCAAGAATTTCCGCTCTCCGTAGGTGCGAGCGAAAGCACCACCCTCTGATTGAGCTTGACTCCGCCGCTGACGCTCTCAGATCTGTCTCGACCCAGCGCCGCTGGAACCTCATGTTGTTATTCCATTCCAGCCCAATCAAGAAGCATCATACAGTGTTGTACCGCTGGCGGTAACGTATCTCATCTTGATTTTCTCGTTCATCTCGTTAATCTTCCTCCTGGCATCCGCGTTCATCTTCATCTACTTCAGGTCTGTGTTTATAGATTTTCTTCTCGGCGGTGGAGCTCGACGAGCCTTGAAGGTCGAGCGGGGGCTGGGAGTAGGCTTCCAATATTCCTTCCTGTCTCAAAATAATTTAGAGTGTGCCCCCTCGGAATCAATGAGCTACTACTTCATCATCGCGTTCATTGGAGAAAATAGCGGGAACACTTACGATGTAGATCGATTCCGTTGGGAGCCACTACATGAGTTGCCGACGGCGGACTGCTCTTTGAGGCTTCCGCGGCGAAGTTTGCAATTGATCGAGTCGGGACTACTTGTCACCGATAGTATGGAATCGTGTACATCAGACAGGCTCAACGGATCTGCGTCACTCGTTCACGGTGCAACCTTTATTCGGGCCTCATTGATGGAAAGACCCAGAGTCCGAGGATACTCCCCCTCATTTGAAACTCCTCTGCGTCCTCCCGCGACACGAGGGCCAAGAATTCAAGAAAAAAACCTTAAGCGAACATTCATAAGTGCAAGTTGCGAGAAGCTTCCACGGAATCGTCGGAAGAACCGAACAAAAGCTCTCAATCTTTTTTGCAGAACATTGAAATGCAGCCGGACGAAAGTTCATGTGAACTTGGTGACGTCCCTGATCATTCACTCGGTGATGCTGATTGCCATTTCGGGACCTCTGATCTTCGACCAAACGTGGGGTCAAGATGACACCGAGCACAAGCACTTCATCAAGAAGAATGTGAGCCTTTCTCTTGTCGCTCTAATCGGAAGAAACCGAGAACTAGCTCATACAGAATGATGCTTGCACTTAATGATGGGAGCCAGGTGGGGGGCGAAGCCAGGAAGGGATCGGTCCTTGAGCTCAGCCGCTCTCAAATCGAGGACTCTATCGTCAAAGAAGCTGTGCTCCGACAGAACCCCAATGGCCTGCCACCTAGCGATCCCCCTGCTCGTGATACAAAGTTGTGAACGGGAAGCGACTGTCTCGCCGATATGATGCCCTGACAGCTTGGAAGACTCCCTCGTGTCCTCGCTACTCCCATTGAGCTGTCAGAACCTTGCTCTGTCAGGAGTTTCGAGCCGCTAGGAATCGTTTGTTGAAATTATCGATGCTTGCGGTAACTCTCCGACCGCGGCTCGTACGAAATGCCATTCGAGAAGATCGCAGACGCTCGCGCGCGTTTTTCTCCTTGTCCCCCCGAGACGATAAATCCTGCCGAGATCTCTCCCCAATGATTTGGGTATGACCACAGAACGATTGACGTAGACCTCGGAGCCCATATCGTTCCCGACGGTTCCGCAGATTCCCTCGCGAGAACCGACCCTAATCATGGAGATACGCCCACGAAGTCTCTGAGTGAGTCACGTCGGCGATCACAGAGAACCGACACGTCGCGTCAGCGCACGGAGGGTCAAGGCAGGTCACTCATGGAGATCGAGAGGGTTCGACGTTTGGAAATCTAGCATTCGGCAAGGCGGGTTGAAGCTCCCTTCCCGAATCCGAATCGAACATTTCTGAGGAATCACTTTGCGGTCAGTGGTCCCCCGTCGGAAGGCCTCTGAACAAAGACTCCCACAATCGAGCTCGCTTGTACATTCGGCCCGTCAAATATTTGGGAACTTTGTGATCGTTGACGTACGCTGCTGGTGAGACTCTGACGGACGGCTTGCGTCGAAAGTTTTTGTTGCTGCCGAAGCTCCGTCGGTTTTCGGAGCCAAAGCTCATTGTGATCGAGTAGTATACGCTCCCAGAGCATGGAAACCGCATCGTCGCGACGTCAGACCCGGACAAACTCGATTAGCCCTAAGACTGCGACAATCAGTCGGAACCCTATTCTTTGTCGATTGCTTAGGGGAAGTTTCTGGTCGGATCGTGTTGAACAATCAAACTTGATTCTCCACAGCCCATCCTATGCAAAGCGATACTGTGTCTTCAAATGTATTCTTCAATGTCGTCCATAAACTGGATGTTCGTCGAGGGCCTCCTCCTTCACTCAAAAATCACAACGTCAATTTTTAGGAAGAGCGCTCCCTTCAAACTTTACTACAGCCTTGGCTGGGGTGAGTACCGAATGGCCTTCGAGACGTAGCATCGAAATGAAATTATATATCGCCGAAAAATACTGGTGCGCAGCACGCGTTTCGGTCCCGAGGACTCTCACCGTGTGGAGCTGGAAATTCGGGCTTCTCGCCATCGCTTAGTCGCAGAGAAGTTCGCGAGATAGCAAGGAAGACCTCTTAAGAGAATTATCGCTCATCGTAGATGCTCCGCATTTTCCACTCGCCGGGTTCGGAATCGTCCGCGCGTACTCGGGAGCCGCGGAAAACTCGCGGGTACCTAATGATCGTTTCTTGCCAATCGAATATCCAATAAATTCCGACTTTCCCTGAATGAGGACAATGGTCAAATGCTCGTGAGATATTGAGGGTTCAGTCACAGCAAGATTCGACTATGCTCACTCATTCGAGAACTAAGCGTTTCGACGGTGGAGTGCGAGTGTCGTTGGGGCTCTAGCATCAAGTTCCGCGAGACAATGTCTCCGAGTTCGGAGGTGCGGAAGCAATGGAAAACCCCCGCTTAGACCTCCCGTGGTCTCCGACCCTGCACCCGACCCCTACGGAGAGCTCCAGCTACAGCGCAGTCGGCCGATTGCCCCTTCCATCAGAGCGCGAGATTTCGACGACCTGATGAAGGCATACATAGTAGATTTCGCTGACGACGATAGTCGAGAGGTCGGACCTGAGCCCGGTTGTATATTGCAGTCAGTACTTCAAAGAACATATATGACCAATGAAATTGTCTGCAGGTCTGCCACTGCTTTTCATAATCCCGTGGGCGGCTGAAATGGAAGCAACAAATCCTCCGGGGAGTTGTTGGGAAGGTTACGTGCAATCCGACTGGACGTGGCTCCTTATTGCACCTCGGCTTACAGCTGTGCTCGTCAACTTCTGTTTCCTGGTTAACATAGTACGCATTCTCGTATCGCGAGTGAAGTCCGCGGAGAATACGCAATTCAGGTATGAGCCTCTCATGAAAACTTTTCTCCTCCGCGACCCTCCGCGGGAACATTCTCAGAGCTTGTCGAGGGGAATCTCGGACTTGAGAAATGAGAACGAGACCTTGAAATCTCCACAAGCCACATCGTTTGTGAACGGCTTCTTTGTGCCGTCGGCGATAGTCTACAAATAGCATTGACTTTCTGCACTCTCTCTTTCAGAAAAGGTATGAAGGCAACATTGTTATTGTTCCCATTGCTGGGGATCACCCACCTATTCTTCTGTTTCAACCCTCAAGACTCGGACAGGAAATTGAAAGACGTGTATATGATAACGAACGCTATCCTCATGTCTTCCCAGGTGAGCTTCCCCTCAAAAATATTCCTGCTTTTATCAAAGCCTCTCACTTACATCGGTCAGATGTCCGACAGGCACTTGAAAAAGTACAGAGATCACGACTGATAAATTACCTTGCCGAGGGGTTATGGCCGATTCTGCGGAGAGGCTCTCGAGGCCGTTGGCGGACGCTTGGAGGGGAATACGGGAAGGCTCCAGGGAAGTCTAGACGAGGATCCTGGTAGTTCTGGGACCCAGCCAAATCTGCTATGTTTATTCAAAAGAAGACTCTAGTGCTGAACAAAAGAGCTTTTCCGCGCAGAATCTTCCGCGGGCATGTAACCATTAATCACGGTCATGTACGGCTTTGTCAACAAGGGACCTCAACGAATCCCGAGAATTTCTCGCGGCTACTGCTGGATAAGCGGATCGTCGTATCGCCCTCGACACATCGGAGCTCTCGTTTGGTCCCGAAGTTTTTCGAAAGATGTCGGGAGACAAACATGGAGAAGAATGGAAGAGTTTCTCCCAAACTAGGCAGCCCTTTACTTCGAAAATAGAAGGGGAACTTTGGGGTTGAGAGTGGAGGGAGTTAGCTACGATGAGTGCGTTCCGCGAGAAGGCTTCGATTACCTCCTCCAAACCTCTGAGGGAGAGGCTCTCTCAACAAAGGATGTGCTATGGATGAGGATTATATCGCGCGGTACGACGAGCCGTTAAAGTCGATGGTTTTGAAGCCACTCCCCGAATTCGTCGTGATCATGCGTGTTTTCGCGCGATATTCCACCTCAAATCATAGAGGATTTCCTTCGTGGAATCCTTGTATGAGAATCTGTAAGCTCTTCATGACGGAGATGAGCTCACTAAGGTCATCCAGTTCGAGGGCACGATCTATTCATCTTCTCATGAATGCCTGCTGTCGATATGATGAGGCAGGGTGACGAGCCGGGTAGAGAGCGAAGACATCTAGAATAGATTCTCCAACTGGAGAGGCGGAAGGGGAAATGAGACATATCCTCCATCCTCGGAGGAGCTTCGTTCGCTCTTCAGTCAGACAGCACGGATGTCTGATCGAGAGGGACTACGAAAGCCTTCTCCTCAAGGCGGGTTCCCCCTTCGCGAATTGCTTCCCTGACTGCGGTCGTGGCAGGACTCGCCACTTGATGATTCGGGGAACGGGGGTGGCCTGTGTGGCGAGTCGTTGGATAGCCCAGGAAAGCGGAAATCCTAATTTGGGTCACGAGTCTTAAGATCAGCTTAAATCTCGGGATGTCACACCGAGTATTATTAAAATGCTTGGAACGGAACTGAATGCCCCGAATAATTCTCGAGCCCTAAACTGTGAAGCTTGCGAAACTCGTACACGGGACTTTCATCACGCTTCTTCATCGCATTTCAGGGGATATTCGTCTCAACCATATATTGCTTCATGAACTCCGATGTGCAGACCTCGCTTCGCAATGCTTACTTGAGAGCAACAATCAGAAGAAATCCGAATCGCCGCAGAAAAACCCATTGTGAGAGTTCGATGCTTTTCGGTAGTCAAATTGGAGCCGCGGAGGACCGGAAGGCGACGAGTTTCAACCGAGTCAAAGAAGGCGGGCATCTAAAAATCTCCATGAAAGGTCGCGGTCCTGAGGTACTCCGTATGGCCAGCCCGACTAGAGTCGTGGTGATGTCAGACAGCCCGCAGTAAACGCTCAAGGGATTAGTTTTGTCAACAAGGCTCTCTCCTTTACGAATGTGGCATTTCATTAAATGTCTAGGCAGGCTGACATATCAACAGCTCTAGGTATCTCCAACAAATTCAATTCGTTTCGACGAATAAGTAATTTTTCGAAGTCCGACAGGGTTCGGGTAATCTCCGCTTCCGGAGCTCTTTGACTCTCGAATGGGATAAAACTAAATCGGCTCAGGATACGAGTTTTTAGTGTACAGGGCAATCTGGTCGAGCGGAGACTCGGGCCCGGCGCTCAATCTAATTTCACTCAGCATGCCAAAAATCTGAGAAGTCGAAAATTCGGTTCGTTAAGAATTCGCTGGTCGTATACAGGAGCTCAGAGATTTTCCGAGGCAGGAATCCCACCGGTGCGACTCCTGCGAAGCGACAAGGCATCGAAATGTTATAGGTATACGAGATCGTTGATACCGCACCAAGCGTCCTGTACATGAACACTGTATCACAAATATTCTCATTACCTATATCGACGCAGCTATGACGGATGACCTTTTCGACCCATCTTGTGAGACTTCGAGCGTATCACTGAATGTTGAATGTGGATATGTCTGTCGGAAACGAGCCGATCCAGGGTCTCTCAGTGAGGCTAGCGGGGCGAACGGCATTGACTACGAGCGTTGGAGAATGTGAGATGAAGGAAAGTCGCAATCGATGCAGCCGACTCAACGGATAGTTTGCATGGGATTGTCTCGCGTCAACATATCGAATGGCCGACTGACTCAGAGGAGAATGCAAAGCGCGCTCTGCGGAGCCGACTTTGAAATGTTGTGAATCACTGGGTTTGAATATTTTAGCGGATATCGTGGATTACAAGAAACTTGATACGCTCGGAGTATTTCTTGCTCTGATCAACTTTGGTGTGAGAGAGCGGATGGAAATAAAATGTATTCAATACTTTTCTCTCATACTACCGTCTTCGCGACTTCTTCTCGTCCGAGAGCTCTCCGGCTCATTCGCTCTAGCTGGTCGACTCTACCGCGGTGATGGGAATCGATATATTAGATTAGACGTTGTCAGTTGTCACCTATACATATTTGAGGTTCCCTTCGCAAAGGGTCAGCGGAATTTCGCCGTGACATTTTATACATTTTTCGTATGCCTCGGCTCCGTCGAGCATAACGCCGGTCACCGCGGCTGGTTGTTGACACTCGTTCAAGCGATTTGGAGGGAAACATGCTTGATCGATCCTTTACGGTTGGACTGCAGCCCATCTATTCCTCCTGTTGGTCTACAATTCTATATGCGGGATTCGGGAGGGCGAGCCGCTTGTGATTTGCAGATGTTCGTGCTCGTCATACTCGAGACTTGAGGCTCGAGACTTCCTGTTGGTGAACGTTGCACTGAGCCCGAGGATTAGATGCTCCATCTCCACGGAAGTTTGTCGCAGGACCTCGCCGACTCGCCGCTGAGGGAATAATTAATAACTCGTCCCCGAGTCTCTGGCTTGACCGGGAATCCCCTCACAGGAATTGTCCATATCTGATATTCTCAACGCTGATCGATGCTATTCCTCTCGCGGCGCGGGGAATGCCCTGATCCGGGTCCGAAGACGAAGACGGCATCAATCTCTTCTGGAAAATCCCGCAAATCATTCTGGAAGAGAGGGATCTCCCCGCTCCGACGCCCCGGAGGAGTCTCGAGTTCCGGAGGAGAACTTTGACACCTCGCAGAGCTCCCCCGTCGAAGCTGACTTTCGATCGACGAGTTCTCAATTATCCAATCAATGTATCTCATTCTTGATAGGGGAGAAACATTGGAAAGGGCTCTCCACTCTGCCATGATCCTTTGACATCGGGATCCATCCATGACTCATAACTTCGATTGTTTGCAGGAGTGTCAGGATCGCTCTCCGCTTCTTCGCAGAATCCAATCAGTTCCAAGCGACTCTGCGTGTGCTCCCCCCTCAACGAGTTCTCCGGTGGGCGTCCGGAACGACCCTCATTTTCCGCATGCTCAGTATTCGCAGATTCAATCATAATTTAGTCGGTCGAACCGATATCGAGCGATATTGCAGCGCAATCATTCGAATTTGCATAGCTTGCGCTCCTGGGGGAACGGGATCAGCTCAATCGCGCTCTACAAATTTGAATATTCGCCCCCTGCGTGATCCTAGCCGGAATTCGTGAAAACTTAGGGCCCCAGCAAGTACGACGGCGCCGGCGCGGCGTTGGCGTCGCGTTCGCATCGGGGAATCAGTTTGTGAGACCTCGGTGAGGGAGAAATATCTTGAATCCGGAGCACTGCGGTTGCGGCCGCTGCCTTCAGAGGCTTCGACCTGCCAGTGCGAATATGGAATTCACGTTTGGATCGCATGCGGGCCATTAGACTCGATTTCTAGGGCTAACTAAGTGAGTAATCTCAATGGCAATATGCACTCACCTTCAATACGAGCTGATCACCTCGACTCCTGAGTCGTATAATACGAGTTTCACGCGGGAGCCTCCGGCTCGATACGCGGGCTCGAAGGGAAATTCTGCTCGGTCGAACATCGGGCATAAATCCTTCGCTCCGATAGGATCCGTATAGAGCACAACGAGTTCGGCATGAGACGGGGAAAGAAGCACTTATCTGCGAGCCATAGGCCTCGGGGGCCTGACGGCATGCTCTGCGAAGCTTCTAATCAATGATTCTCTTGGAATTAAATCGGTCGAATAAATTCTGTGCACCGACTGGTCCACATCGGCGACCGTATCTTATCGTTCCGATGCTGGTAGTCGCCACCCTCTCTTCCAGACCGGTTTTTCACGCGGAGGATGTGCAGTCCACGGGAGGCCGCGGCACCAACAGTGAATTCGGCGTCGGAGAGAAATCAGGTCGCGCAAATGTATCAGCTCGAGCGATCTCCGTCCGCCGAGATCGTTCTCGGAACTTTCTCCGTGTGATAGTTCCAAACGTCCGACGAGATATAGAGGCCACAAGAGTCCTACGGCGCGGCGGCGCTGTCTAAGCCCTGGGCACGAGATAGAGCCCCCGAAGCACCGAAGATTTGTCTAACGCTTCATAGGCGAAAGTATGGGTGAGTCAAATGATGGAAAACGATCCCGAGCTCGTTCCCCTCTCTTCCCTCTTTCCTTGTTTCTGAAGGTCTCATGAGGGAAGCATTCTCTCGCGCGAAAAAATCGATTCCCGATGTATTCTGCGGAAGATACCTTCGTGCCTTCTGAATCTCCACCATTTTCCAAGTTCCTTCCCTTCGAAATCTCCAGCAGCCGAGGATGCGGTGATCACCGGCTGGGTCCAAAGTGGCGCGCATTCGTCATCTTCTGATCTCGGAAGACTTCATTCGACACCATTAGACGCTTTCCTCGCACCGGGGAGAAAAGAATGAAGACCAGGAACAATGCCGACCCGACCTGGATTTGTGTTTTCGTAGAGTTCGCGCGGGCGGAAAGAGGAAATTCAGGGAGGGGAGCGCTCGGGACGAGTCCAAATCAGCAGTTGGAATGTTTATGAGGTTCATTCGCCAAGCTAATTGTGGGGGTCGGTGACCCTTTCAAAATCACGCCGACCACCGCCGCACAGTGGTCAAAAATCGATTTCTAGGTGGACTAAATTATTCGGTCGTTTTTCGCCCATCTCTCGAAATTAAAAGTTATAATCTACCCGAAACCTTGAAAATGAGTGACGGATGACCCCCAACAAGGACGCAGCGACCCGGAAAGTTGCGGTTTGTATCGATACGACCGAGGAAAATTCTTCCGTGGCCGACAATAGGCGACAACCTAGATTGCTCATTTAGGACTTTTGCCCCGGCTCGGCCCGAGAGTTTTTTTTTCTTTCAAAGCTCGTCAAGACCTCCGCTTCCCAAAGCGCATCTCCGCGAAGGGATTTAATAAAAAAAACGTCCTTTTTTACATGATTTAGGCCTTCGTCGGGGATATCGAGTTATAGCCGGACATGCTTCAGACGAGATTGCCTGGGCTGTCTTGGATTATTTTTCCTCTCTTTCACTGCTCGTGGGTGTCCCCACGCGGCGATACTGGGATGCAGAATTCGCTGCGGGGCTTGATCCGCTTCGATTGTGGATAGGGATCCCCTCTTTAACAATAGCATGGATATAGATCGCGATCGATGCCCGCGACTCGGGGGCAACCCGAGTAGTCTCGGCGATCCAACCCGACATACAACAGTTCATTTCCAGTTTTACCGCCGAAAAGCGATCTTTTGAGAGCCAGCAGACGATGTTCCGAGTCTCACTCACGGTCAAGCTGGCGCGGTCTCCCTTTCTGTAGGAAGTTGGAAGTCAAGCAGGGAACCACGTGCATCGGGATCGCTCTTCGTTGTGCGCTCTCAGGCTGAGCTTCACGGTGCATTGAGATCTTGTGGAGGACAACAAGTGGAGGCGATGGAGACGTCTAGCGATTGATGTGGAACTCATACGGAGCTAAGGGCACATCGTTGCGGATACGCAATTATGCATAGATTCATCTTATTATGTACTGTATATTGAGCGTCCCAGAATAAAGATATTATCCTATAATAAACGTCCTAAAATAAAGATATTGGATGAACCAGGAGGCAGACCCTATCCGCAAGGCAACCATCTTCCAAGTCGTGGAGCATTCGTCTCTCTCAGATCTGCCTGCGTAAAGTTGGTGGGATTTTTTAAGAACGACGTCCCCAGGACCTCAAATATCGTCTCTGCGGGCGAACTGGAGGCCGGAAAACCTTTCCGAGTCTCACGCCTCATTCGGGGAACGGAAATCTATCGAAAAGATCATCGAAATAATTGTCCACCTAGAAATTGATTTCCGACCACTGAGCGCCTAGATGGAAAGAGCAGAATTAGTCTTCCTCCCATCGAATGCGAAGTAGGAGCATCCAAAGTTCAACAATCGAATCCGGGGCTCAGGCAGGGTGACGACAACACCTATTTGCGATGGAAGTTCTTGCGAGAGCTTCGGGCTCGACGGCTGAAGGGAAAAGTTCCCTGATGTGCAGTCTGCTGATTTCGTCAT